CAGTCTCTCAGGAGAGTTTGTTGGAGAGACCCTCAGGGGCCTAGAACATACACAAGCCCACACACCCAGGAATCAGCACCAGAAGGGCCAGATTTGCTTGTGGGTAGCAGGGGAAGTGACTGAAAGCTGGCAGAGAGCTGAGCAAGCAGCATTGTTTCCTCTCTGACCCCTCTTCCACATATAGAGCCACAGCACAGGGTTACCCCATCCCGGCAAATACCTAAGGTTCTGCCCCTTACTACCTAACAGGTGGACAGAGATAAAAATATATGGCCCAAATGAAAGAAAAGATCAAAGCTCCAAAAATATAACTAAGCAACAAAAAGATAGCCAACCTCTCCAATGCAGAGTTCAAAACATTGGTAATTAGGATGCTCACAGAAATGGTTGAATATAGTCACAAAATAGAGGAGAAAGTGAAGGCTATGCAAAGTGAATAAAGGAAAATATACAGGGAACCAATAGTGAAGAGAAGGAAACTGGGATTCAAATCAATGATTTGGAGCACAAGGTATAAACATTCAACCTGAAAAGAATGAAGAAACAGGAATTTAAAAAAATGAGAAGAAGCTTAGGAACCTCCAGGACATCTTTAAATATTCCAACATCCGAATCATAGGGGTGCCAGAAGGAAAAGAGGAAGAGCAAGAAATTAAAAACTTATTTGAAAAAACAATGAAGGAGAACTTTCCTAATCTGGCAAAGAAAATAGACTTCCAGGAAGTCCAGGAAGCTCAGAGAGTCCCAAAGAAGTTGGACCCAAGGAGGAACACACCAACGCACATCATAATTATATTACCCAAGGTTAAAAATAAGGAGAGAATCTCAAAAGCAGAAAGAGAAAAGGAGACAGTCACCTACAATGGAGTTCCCATAAAACTGTCGGCTGATTTCTCAAAAGAAATCTTACAGGCAAGAAGGGGCCGGAAAGAAGTATTCGAAGTCATCAAAGGCAAGGACCTACATCCAAGATGACTCTCTCCAGCAAAGCTGTCATTTAGAATAGAAGGGCAAATCAAGTGCGTCCCAGATAACGTCAAGTTAAAGGAGTTCATCACCACCAAGCCCTTATTATATGAAATGTTAAAGGGACTTACCTAAGGAAAAGATCAGTAAATATGAACAGTAAAATAACAACAAACTCAACTATCAACAACCAAACCTAAGAAAACAAAAACATAAACTAAGCAAACAACTAGAACAAGAATAGAATCACAGAAATGGAGATCACATAGCGGGTTATCAGTGGTGGGGGGGAGAATGGGGGTAAAGGTACAGGGAATAAGAAGCATAAACGGTAGGTACAAAATAGACAGGCGGAGGTTAAGAACAGTATAGGAAATGGAGAAGCCAAAGAACTTATATGTACAACCCAAGGACATGAACGAAGGAAGGGGGGAATGTGGGTGGAGGGGTAGTGCAAGGCAGAGGGGAAGGGGGGAAAATGGGACAACTGTAATAACATAATCAATAAAATATATTTTTTGAAAAACAAAATATAATGGCTCAATGGCAAATAACTACCTGGACAAACAAAGATAAGAATATGATGATGTCTGCTAGAATTGATCCAGTGGGTCTGACCACTGAATCCTAAACTGTTGCAGAAGAAAATTCCAGAGTAAGACTACAGATGCCTTGATTTTATCAAGAGCACAAGAATATGGGCATTAGATGCTAAAGATTACATTCCAGAAACTTAAGTTCTGGAAGCTGAGGAAGAGAAAACCAGGAACAATAAAGATGGCTGGGGAAGTACCAGTCTCAGTGAGGGGGGATTATGGTGATGGTAAATGGGTTCATACGCACCACTCTTCTAATGATGAACAAGAAATCTCTAAGAAGCTGAACAGCTTCAAGGAAGAGCCAGAATGCCCAGTCAAAAAAAATTATAAGCATTACTTCAGAGAAAAGCAGCTGGTACTACAAGATAAACCTTCGAGAGAAAGATTAAAAGAATGAAGTAACTCCCAGCAAGTTTCCCATTCCAAAGAGAATGCTAAATTTGTGTCATTAATCTGCAAATTAGTGAACTAAGAATGTATATTTGCATCAAAAAGTTGAGATGTACTATTATTTTGAAAACTACCCCCAAAAATATAGTGCTAAACAATGACTGGTCTGATCTCATTTTTTAAAAAACTCTGCAACACCAAAAAATAAGCCTTAATATAAACTAAATTTTAATTAACAGCAATGCAACAATATTGGTTCATGAACTATAACAAATATGTCACATTAATGCAAGATGTTATTAACAAGGAAAAATGGGGAATGGACAATATGGGAACTTTCTGTACTACCTGCATAAACTTTTGTAAATATAAAACAGCTCTAAAAAATAAAGTATTAATTTTATTTAAACCTGCATATGTAGACAGATTTGCAATTGTTTATTTGTAAATGGAAATGGAAAGAGTGAAATGGAAAGAAAAATACAAGGAATTTTTACATAATATACCTCTGGACTGTGTAAACTTTCTACACTGAACAGCACTCTAAGGAGAGGCTCTGTAGCATATTGTGAATCTCAGTCCTGAAATCATACTACATGGTTTCAAATCCCAGCTCCACTATTAACAAGGTGACAAATTTGGACACTGAATTTCTCTGTGCCTTAGTTTCCTCATCTGTAAATAGGGATGGTAGCATGTGTACTCACAGAACTGCTATAGGTATTATATGACTTACTAAATGTAAAGTGTTGGAAAACTAGTACATACTAAGTGCTCAATAAATGATGTCCACCACCACCACCAAGTATACATTATTATCAAGCACCTATTATTCCTAATTTTTTTTAATCTCTGACTAGCAAGACAAGTCAGGAAAACTTGCTTCATCAAGTAGAGGATCTTTGATGCAGAAAATACATATGTATTCAATTGCCAAATAAAAATAACCTGAGATTTTTTCAAGCAAATTACAAATCAACAATTTGAGCCAATTTATACAAAAATAGTCACTGACATTCTATAAGGATAATCACCAAAACAAATCCCTCTGAGTGCTGTGATTCTGGATAATTTTTACTTTCTCCTTTATACTTTTCTGACTCATTTTAATTTTCTACATGGAATGTGCATCATTTTTAATAAAATAAAATAGGACTCGGGTAACTTTTTCTATTCAGGGCCAGATAATAGTTTAAGCTCTGCAGGCCATATGGGCCTATGTCACAATTACTTAACTCTACCACAAAGTAGCCATAGACTATATCTACATATGTATGTATATTCACATGTATGCATATTGTCTGCATATGACTATGTCCCAATAAAAAATTTACAAGGCAGCTGGCAGGACTTGGCCCGCAAGCTATTAGGTTTGCTGACCCCTAAAATGAAGAATAAAACAAAATCATTTTCATTTGGGAAAACAAACTTTGATTTATACCAAAGAAAGTGCATCAGTTATACCGATACTATTGATGAAAAAAACTAATCACTTATTAACTCACACAAGTCTAGGGATAGAAAAACATTCTGGAAATTCTCCTGTCATCCCTACTACCCCAGTAATAAAGAGAAAATTTTCCTGAAGTCTAAACAAAAGTATGCACTGGTGGGTGGGCAGTTAAAACAGAAGTTAAAAGAAATATGCCCTTCATATTTAAATTACTTTGAAATTTTTCAAAGTTCCACATGTGTGGAAGTCCTGAGTACTGATGAAATTATTTTAGTTACAAATCATCGTAATCCCCACTCTTGACAAATTTCTGAGAAAGAATGAAAACACCTATCAACAGCAGCATCAGAAATGAAATTAGAAATTAGAGTGAAACGAAATGAAATAAAATTTGAAATTAGAGTAAAATGAAAAATTAGAAAAGAAAAGCCTATGAAATACTAACAGAGTAAGTGTCATAGAGTCCGGAGAATGGAAAGACATAATGGTAGCCCTAAGTATGAGGGCACTTCAAACTGCGTAAGTGACTATGGTGTGTGATCTCCCCTCCCCACAAGCAAAACAAAGTTCTGGCCTTAAAGGAATTATTTTTAACATTTCTTTGGGAAGAGTTTTGTGATCAAATTATCTTAAATGTTATATTTTTTTGGAGTTTTAAATGCTGTCGGGGGTGGGGGGCTGTTTTTGGAAGAGATACAATGGGAATAACGCTAACGCCTGAGAAATCCAGAGTCCAAAAATAAAAACACTAAAAACCATTGTACTTTAAAAAAGAAAGCCAACAGCCTGCAATGAAGTCAAATCAACCAGTGGACTTCCCAGGTGGAAAAGTCCCAGGTGGACACTTGAGCGTTTCTACCAAAATTCATTGTTGGGACATCATGTTAAGTTGTTAAAATTCCAGAAGCAAACGTTTAAATAAGGTCAAAAGTCAGGGGGAGGGAAAAGTACCTATTATTTTTCAATCCAAACTCTCTCACAGACCCCCAAACACGGATTTAAACCCTGTTTTCGGCAGTTCTAAAAGCAGCACACAGGGACAAAAAAGCCTGATGGGGCTTGGGAAAACGAGGCCCAAGTTTCTCTCCCAACAAGGCTGCCCGAAACGCCACCTAAGAGGAGAGGAAAATCTTCCCACCGCATATATTGTCAAAGTAGTGAATACTAAGCAGAACCCATTCGAAGCCTGCACCAAAAAAATTCCTAGAAGTGATAGAAGGGAAGGAAATGAAGAATCGGAGAGCAGATTCCCTCCGTGGGCAGTAAGGACGGACAAGCACGCCAACGGAGAAGAGCTAAGAGTCTCTGGACCCTCTGCTAGAAGAGGCGAGGCGGGCGGTGGGTGCCAGGCTCAGGAGACTGCGGTTGAAAGGAGGGTGGACCCAGGCCCCTCGCCGTCCCCCGCGCCCTCCACCGTACTGCACACAGCCCGGGGCTGCGGGTCACGTTAGAAGGCCAGTTCAGGGTTGAGACGAGAGCGCGCTCCTCGGCCCACGCTCGGACACTCGCCCCCTCAGCCGTCACCTCCTCCCCGACCCCGAGCCTCTACCTCTTCGCCCGGGAAACGGTACTCACTCTCCAGAGACACTCACCTAGAGCTTGTTGCCGCCTCGCCACAGGTCTCGAACTCCTCCGGAATCACAGCTGAGGGGAGGGGGAGGAGGGGGGGGCCGAGGAGGGAAGGGGCCCAACCCGGTGGAGCCGAGCCGCTGCCGCCGCCGCGATACAAAGTGTGAGATCGTGCGCGCGCCGCCGTGACCGCCACCGCCCCGTCTGCCCGCCCCTACGACCTCACGTCCCCGTGACGTAAATCGCACGAGGCAGTAAGACCCAATAAGACCACACCTCAAGCGCAGCCGCGCTGGGCAAAACCAGAAACGACCTGTCTGACAAAGTAGAACCTGGGTGCATCTTGGGAATTGTAGTTCAACCAGGGTCTGAATAAAAGCAGTGCTGAGCGTTGAGGAACCGAAAGAAAGCGCTCCACGGTCGCTGACTTAAGTTCCCTTTGTTTTTTCCCTCCCACCGAAAAGGGAAGGAGTTTGGATTAGAAGAAGGGGTGGCCGTCCTAGCCCGTGGATGCTTTTCCCATTGTCTGTGGGTACGGGTTACTCACCTCGGACGGAAGCCAAAATTTAGGGATTTAGGCTAGGTCGTGTGTTTCTCTGCCAACGGCCAGTTTATAGTTAGGTGTCGTCTGTGAAAGCTTCGTAAATAAATCCGAAAGCAGTAGCCAAATCTTACCGAAAACAAAAGCGTTTGCCTTTCAGGTATTAAGATATTATTATTTATGTCCTATTCTCAAAAACAAACGTGCGCCATTCACTCTTAAAATACAATTCAGAACGATTTCTAAAATGTTTTTCATGTAATAGATCAGAAATTATTTCAACTTTAAATACTGTGTCCATTTACCCTAAGTGAGTGATTTTTCTACAAGTAAGCTTTCAATTGAGTTCTAACTTAGAAAACAAGAACGGGTCTGGTTACATACTTAATTCTATAAGAAAAGGAAATACAGTATAGGAGCTGGCATAGAAAAATGCTTTCTTCACATTCAGTTCTAAGAGGAATTCATCATACTCCGAAGAGGTCATTTCCTTAACTGTCAGAACTCTTGTTACTAACCAAATAGTTAGCTCTCAAGAACACCTATATCCACAGCTTGATGTCCTTCCGTTGAACCACAGCAACAGAAAACAAAGGAGAATACCCAAAAAAGATTCACAGAAAAAGCTCATATCAGTAGAAGACCTGAAGTCTAATATACGAGGAAAAAATAAAAGTGGAGAACTCATACTAAGAAGTGATTAAAGTGCCTAAAAGGCATGAATAATACCATCTTAATACTGGTATTTTAGAGCTAAGGCCACCCAGTTAAGCTTGAAAGAAATAAAATTAGTATAAATAAAATTACAGAACTAAGTGTCGCAGGTTCGACTCCCAGTCAGGGCACATACCTGGGTTGCAGGCCATGGCCCCCAGCAACCGCACATTGATGTCTCTCTCCCTCTCTCTCTCTCTCTATATCTATCTATCTATCTCTATCTCCCTCCCTTCCCTCTCTAAAAATAAATAAATAAAATCTTTAAAAAAAAATTACAGAACTAAGTTTAAAGGAACTAATTCCCTTCAAGTAGTAGTTTACAATGAAATATTGATTATATTTTTAAGTTTATGTAATTTTAAAAAATAATAACGACATCTATTTTTCCAGGTAAATATAAAGCTTTGAGATTGAAGTCAAGAAAAATAGTCATATACTTCCACAACACATCAGAAGCAGAATATGGATGTATTTGAATTAAAAATTAGATCCAGCATACCAACTTACATAGGGCAAGGTTGAGAACAAGAATCTCAGGCTTAATAAGAGGTCTTCTAAAGGTAACAAAGCTATATAAAAAAGATAATTAAAAAATAAATTGTTTAAGGACTTCAGGTCTTTTCTACATTTTTCTCTTGATTTTGCCTTGACAAAATGAAGCACTTTACTAAAGAAGCTTTCTCTGGAACACTCCATTGTGTGCTGAAATGTTAGAAAAAGCCTTAATATTTTCCCACCAAGATTTTACCTATCATTCTCTGTCACCTTGACCCCATTCCCAGATCATTAGTCCCAATTCCTAATGCTCACAATGGGAAAACAAACCACCTCACTTCCTTAATATGCTCATACCTTTGTAGTTAATGAGGAAGTTGCCACCGTCCCTGACCTGAGGGACAATCCTGAGTTCTATGTCCATAAGTGCCTTCAACCCTAACCCTTACCTAAATGTCACCATTAAATGTTCCAAAGCAGATTTTTCAAGGTTCTCTCAGCTACTAATCTTTGTGTGCTGTCTTCTGACTAGCTGTCCAAAAACCAAGGGAAATTCAGTACAATCTTATATCCTCCAATGTCATCTGAGGATCTTTAGAATTAGTTCTGTCCATTCTTATAGTCTCCACAGGAGGGTAAAGTCCATCATCTTCCGCAGCACCAAGGAAAGAGTCTCTTTCACACATACTCCCCATACTAGCCACCAGTGACCCAACAGTGCTCTCTGGCACAGCTAGTCTGATGTAATCATCCCTGCAATTATCAGATGTTGTTGACAAGGTGAACACATCACTGGGTGAGTAATATTCATAATCCAGTTGCAGCCATCCCAGAATGAGGCATCAGCAACACTAAACTATGTTGTTGAAATGATGATATTGGACTTGCTTTAGAGACAGATTTATACTTTGTTGTGATATGTAAGCCAAAAGTCAATGAGAATTAGAGATGTACCTAAAGCAGTGATTTAAAACATGCAACACCTGACCATTTAGTCAGGGGCACCAACCTCTTTTTCCTTAGATTATCAAAAAAAGAAAAAAAAAGACAACAACCAATACAACAATAGCTGTCTGATGTGAATTCCCTGTCTTGAACCATAAATATATAGACCACACAACAGCATTGCATCTTATTGGTCAAATTGCATAATAAGTTTGCCTCTGATTGGTTAATTCATGGTACCAGAAATCCTTATATACAAGTATAAGCACCTGATTTTTTAAAAAGTCACTTTGAAGCAAAAAAAGGTAGGTAATTACTATTATTCTTTTTTGTAAATTGATCAAAATTATACCTATTTTCTAACCAGATTGGTAAAAATTATAATAAATATTTTGTTGTGCCACAGAATTTTAGTAGTTTATGTGTGCCACGATATGAAAAAGGTTGAAAATCACTGATCTAAACCAACAAGCAAATTAAAAGTGAAACTTTCAGATTCTAAAAGGTAATAAAAGAATCTCCTAGACTCTATTGTAAATTTAAATGAGATTGTAATTCTTTTTTGCTTGTCCTTTAAAGAAAAACAGTGATTCATTTATTATTTTTCTAATCAAAGCAATTACTATTTTAATAACAAAAAAGACAAGTTATTCTTCTAGTGACAACAAAAATTAGTACTCTTCTTTGAGTGAACTGAGTCTGCAATTTTTCCAAGAACTTTTACAAAGAAAAATTAACAGCATCATTACTACAAAATTCTTAAAACTAGCCTAAAGGACAATATGGAAAATGGACCATCAAAAAGATAACTCCCCCCTCAAAAAAAAAAAAACAAAGGCTGTAAAATCAGTCCTTGTGCTTGTCTTATATATATATTGTAGAAGAGGGAAAACCTCCTCGTACCCTCTTAGGTTCTATCGCTAGCCTAAGAATTAAACTGACAGAAGACAGATTAGGAGGTGCGGGGGGAAGGGGAGGAGAGTATAGGGGAAATACGTAGTGATGGACAAGGACTTGACTTGAGGTGGTGAACACACAGTACAATGTACAGATGATGTGTTGTGGAATTGTGCACCTGAAACCTATATCATTTTGTTATCCAATCACCCCAATAAATTCAATAAATGGGGGGAAATTTTTTAATGTAAGAGATTAACAGAAAGGCTTAGTTTAGTTAATTTTTTAAAGATTGTATTTATTTATTTATTTATTTCTCTCTGAATTTACTTAGGGATAGAATATAGTCATTCAAATCATGGAACACTATCAATACAGAATAAGGTTGGAGAATTAATTAAGCTGTATTGTTACATTGCATTTAAATAAATAAATATCTTAAAAGAAGCAAATGTAGGTTTGGGGGGAGATAAGATTAAGACACTAATAACACAAGTAACTAAGAATTTCTAAGTCAGCTGTTACATACTGCTTAATTTTTAAGATTATAACAATCTATATATTTTACTTAGATGGCAGCAGATACAAAAGCATTTTAAAGAGAGGGGAAGAGAGGGAGAGAAACATCTGTGTGTGAGAGATACATTGCCTCTCTCAGGCCACCTACTGGGGACCTGGCCTACAACCCAGGCATGTGCCCTGACTGGGAATTGAACCAGTGATCTTTCAATTCACAGGCTGGCACTCAATCCACTGAGCCACACCAGACAGGGGTAGTTAATAATTTTATCTACACACGGGAGTCTTCAGAAGGAAAATGAAGACCTGAAGAAGCCTTAGATTCAAAAGCTTTATATACCTTTTTACACAAAGAGTGAAAAATTGTGGGGATGTGATGAGACTCTGAGAACCACTCTGAGGACTCAGAACTGGTGGTAGATACAAGCAAGGGCCCAGTTAGCCCCACTGACTTCCCTCTTTACATGGGGTGAACTTGAAGTTTTCCTCGGAATCCCAGACCCCCTTGCTTTAAGTAGCAGGTCCTGACTTTATCTGAGCTGTTCTTAGAAAATCATCAAGATGGATAAGGATTGAGATAACCCAGGGAAAGGAGAGGAAAAAAATGGATGGTTGCTCTCAATTTCGTCTTTTCAGTGGATTGCTTACTGAGAGTCTGAACAAAATCTTTGTTGGTTAAATGAGAGACACAACTCTCTTTAGCTCCAAAACTGAAATGACACTTGCTTTCCCAACCCGAATAGCCAATAGGATGACAGTAGTTATTGCAAATACCCAAATCTGAGCGGTGAGATGGGCTCCTCCAGGCATCCAGCATGGTAACACAGCTGAAACTGGAACAGCCGCTACAGGGAGACTTCGTGAAGGGCAAAATGCCCTGGAATGGGCTCACCCTGACAGAAAGGCCTGTGCCTAGGAAGCGCGGTGGTCCTGGCGGCATCCAGTAAGCTCTCCCTGGCCCTTGCTCAGCTATTCTTAAGTGATTAAGAATCTTCATGGGGTTGTGTTCATGAGGAAAATTTTCTCCTAGGGCAGCAGTCCCCAGCTTTTTTGGCACC